ATCATGTATCGGTGTTGGTTGCTTTGGAATACAAAGCGGAGGGAAACCTTTTTTCGAAAAAATCTAAACAAATTTTCAGAACATCCAACAACCTGATCATTTCATAGCCACCATTTCTTCCGATTGTAGTTGATATTGACTGGTATGGCACCGAAATCAATTTCTACTTATCTCAAAAAAATTCATTTTCTACTCTCTTTTTTCCTGAGCACTCTCCGTTTCCTTTGTATATTAGAATTAAATGGATCCATATGGTTTTTAATTTTGAAAATGATCCATCCCATATTTTCGAAACATATGTCAACAATACTTCCTTAAGGAATTGAGGGTTTGCCAAAAGCACAGTCATGAGACTGGATTCTAAGAGTATCCATATCCCTAGCTAGATCCTAAGCAACACTAAAGAGGGAGAAATTGTCTTACATCAGTGAAAATGGATGTAGGTCTAAGAACGAAAATACTTTACGACCAGAGCAGTAGGGCGAGCATCTGATAAATTCTACGCAAGTACGGTATATTTTATTGTTAACTATCTCATGCATATATGTTTAACCAAAATGTGAAGCTCGTCTTAGCGTCCGATAAAAGAAGCTTAGATTGGTCGATAAGGGAGATATTTGCTGTGCCGTTGATATTGGCGTCTACTCCGTAGTATACAAGTAGTATCTAACATCAATCATTTGGCTGGCTCTACCGTCTGATTCCGGATCCAACCGTTGAAATGCAAGCAAGTGGATGATGCCCCGGGATGATGAGCCTCCCTGCCAGATGCATGCCGCGTGGGTCCATGCATCGTACAAGGGCACCGTAGCGACGTGACTACGCTGCGCACGTTACTCTGATAGCAGCCCTCTCTCTCCTCCTCGGTGTCTCACTAGGTTCAGGCTCGGGGCACAGATAGAGACAGAGGGACAAATATAGTTGCACTGTGGTCCATGCATGCATGCATGGATGCTAGTAATTTTCTGTACGTGGTGATCGATCGGTCGAGCAGCTGCCGCTGCACGCTGGGTGGCTACCTAAGCTAGGCCTCTCTCTCTCTCTCTCTCTCTCTCTCTCTGCGTAAAGCGACTGTGGAGCACAGGGTACGTTGCATGCAGAGCCTGATGAACTGATCGATGAGAGAAACGCAAAACTGCAGAGCTAGCTAGCGCCATGCAAACACACACACATGCACATGCTTTCATTTCATGCATATGTATGCATGCGCAGTGTGCACTGTGCTGTCTGTGCAACGCAGGCGGGGATGTCTGTTCCTTTGATAAAAGAAAGCAAGCAAACCAGTATGCCATGCATGTGTAAGTACGTAGGTACGTGCGTGCGTACATGTATGCATGTACAGCTCCATGCATGCTTTTCTGATAGGTTGGTCGCACTGTGTCGTCCCGTGAGGGTCTACTGCCAGCACAGTACGTGTCGACACGAGTGCATGCCACCATGCGCGTTTCTCCTTTCTATGTATATATATCTATATATGCACACATGCACTGCAGTACGTACGGGAGCAAACCGCTGGAGCTGCAGTTTATACAACGAACTTGCGTGCTTCATTTAGTTGAACTACTAAAATACGTTTCATACTACTAAAGGTAAGGTGATTAGAGGGTGTGCACGCCACGCAGCATGAAGGCCAGGTTGGATGCGTAATCTGCAGTACAAGAAGAAATCATTGTAGCATTGAAGAGAGAATGCATGCATGCCATCACGCTTCACGCAGCAGGAGCAGCAGGGAGATGCATGATTTTGGGCGAAGCGTGCAAGGCGCCGGCACTCACTTTGAGGCGGCGCCATGGTCGGTCGGTCGCCGGCTCGATCATCAGACGACGAAGCGATCGACGGGCGCAGCGCCAATCCCGTGGCGCCACACCCCTCATTCCCATGCATGCACGCAGACGCAGTCCCCTCCTGTCCTCCTGCCCGCCTGTCTGGTACGTGCACAGGCCACGACGACCGCCGATCGCATGCATGGCCATGGCCGGCCGCAGTCTTCTCTCTCGCTCGGCAGCAACAGCAATGCATGCCTCCTCTCCTCTCTCACCTTAACCCTAGCAAAGCAATCGCTTTGATCTGCATCTCCATGTGCATGCACTCCCCGTCTCCAGACTCCAGAGAGAGAGAGGGTGGTGTGTGTAGCTTTGGCAGAGGAGGGGAGGGGGGCATGCACCATGCAGTACGTACTGCAAAAGGGAAAGGGGTAAAGAAAGGTGAAGAGGGATGGGAGGCCGTGACGAAGGCCATTTCCAGCTCTCTCGCTCTCGCTCTCCCTCTCCCTCTCTTTCATCCATTTGGGCGCCAAGTGAGTGCCGCAGCCAAAAGCTGCACCCTCCCCGGTCCTGCCCCCATGCATGACATGGCACGGCATGGCTTGGCTAGCCTTAACTCAAAACTTTGGCTCCTTCCACTGCCTTTCCATATGCTGGCTCGTATGTGCAGAAAAGCGTATATCTACAACGTACCCCACTCTACTAAACACTGCAGAGATATGTAGATATGTATGAAAAGTTGTATGGTGTACGTTGGGCCGTAGAAGCATACATGCATATCGCTCACTTTTGACCAAAACCCTGAATTATTATAAAGGCTACAAATGGGTACTTGCATGCATGATTGGTACGTAGCGTTGTGTGCTACATGCATCGCTCAAATATATTTGAGCAAATTAGCGGAGTAATCCTCTCAGTTTTCTCAAATATATTTGTATTCTTGTCAGAGATTGAGCAAACATTGAAAATATGTAGTGCTATCGTATGATCTCACCGGAATAAACCATTTGGGACTTTAATGCTTGTCCAAAATAAATCTACCACGTTATAGTTTCGCGCTCATAAAAAATAAACTATGTCGCTATGATCTTTATCCACACTGAGAATGTTTTTTTTTTGCTTGATTTAACGATTACCACATCTTCTACATGGAAGCAATATGTTCTACAAGGAAACATGATAGATCAATGAACGTCAACACAACTTTTTTTCTTTGTCTTTATGATATTTTTATGTCGACTGCAAGGTACAAAGATGCACACTCTCGCACACATATATATCACCACACACGCACTTCACATAGAGATAGAAACCTGTTGCGGGATGGTTACAAGGTTTGTTATATCCCCATCCCATGAAGGATCAAACATCGTGTTTGACACTGTATTAGGCGCCTATAATGACTTCTGCAATCTTGAAAGTCCAGAGTTGACTACGGGTGCTATGACTACGCGTTGTGTTTCTAAAAAATGAAATAAATTTGCATGTTTTGCTAATTAAAAAGTGAAAACCGATACAAAGCAGATGGATGTATGGAAGCCCGCTAACCACGAGACCATGCACCAATGTGGACACCCAAAAGGCAGACGACCAATATTTGTCCCCAAATTGTCGAACTATCTGTGTTTTGCCCTAACTTCCGCTCTATCATGGAGCCTACCGGCACCCATTCCTAGTTGATGCTATGATGTGCCACCGCTTTCCCTCTCTATATATCAACGTTCTTACTGAATACACCTCCTTGTATGTAAATTCTTTGGATTCATTTTTATGAACATTTTCTGGCCACGACAACGACACCGGGCCCATAGTCGGTCATTCCTTGTTATGCATGATTTTGGATGCAAGTAATGCTAGAGTTCTAACAAGTGACAACCTTACTCACAATGTAATCATTTGGAACATTATTTGGACTTTACTCTCTGGTTGGGTAGATTTAGAGCACCTCTTCAGAAGGATGCCACAATGCCTTGGTGGTTGTACCTCTCCTTGCACACTAGCGCACCTCTGTAAACCTTGTCACTCACTGCCCTCTTTGAGTAATGCATTCAGGTGGAGATCCTCTCCCCATGGTGATTGATCAATAAAAAACTTCGTCCAAACTTTATTATGAGATAATAGTTATATAATAGGGTCCTCAAGCCAATCTGACCAAACAAAGTGATTTAGTTCTTAATTTTACACCCTCTCTGGTTTTTTACTCTGCATAAAACCTTTGGCCAACAATTTTTCTATCAGTATATACTCTATGTGACATAAAATTATGTCATTAGATTCTTATTCCAAAGTACTTACTTATGATAATGGTTTCATATCACATAAGTTACATATTAATAGTGCAACTGTTGGTCAAACGCTTCTCCTAACGAGGACTAATATGCATCCATATCTTCATAATGTGCCCCCGCCAAAATGCCGGTTCAGATTTTATTTATTTATTTATGCATGTCTATCAGCTAACTAAATAAAACGTAGATGGATCACGTGCTGTTGCATTTGAGAGCGAAAAAAACTTGGAGGTCCTTGAGTTTCTATCTGGAGAGGCGGATTGGAAATGATTCTTTGTTACCCCAGTTGATGATGAGTAGTTGAGTTTGCACATATATGTGAAAAGACAAGCAGGAGAAAGGGTCTGGTGTCGAGGAGCCGATCGAGGAAAAGATCAGAAACGCCCTCCCATCAGTCACTGCGGGGGGACATGACAAGTCGCCCATGAGGGAAAGCACAAAAGAGAAGCATCCGAGAGATTGACGAGTCGCCGATCGGGGAAAGAAACCACAGTGGTAAAACTCTTTCCCGTGCCAAAATATACACAGTAAGATGGAAATGGCACCCCATCTCTCTCTCTAGCTCTTTTGTAGTACGTACTCGATCTTGACGCATGCACGGGACACCATGAAACAGTGGTAGAGCTTTAGACTCAGATAAAGACCAAACGACAAATACATGAAGTGACCATGACACAGTACACTACCACATCTCGGTCGATCCGTATGACTCTGACCGTACGTACTACGACACTTCTTCCATGGGACAGACACACAGACATACACTTGTAGTTAATTAAGCTTGCACTAGGGCAGTAACACCTCGCCATGCAAGCACTCTGGACGGACTAATGATGATGCACTTGTTTTGGGAAGCAATGCAAACTAAACCTAGAAGCTACGTACTCCTACGTAGTGGACTAGTACTAACTAGGACTTCGTACAGGAAACAAAGGTAAGTAGTTGTTGTCTAGAGCAAGACCATGTCGGTGCCGTCGCCGGGGTTGCCGTTCTCGTCGTACAGGTGCAGGTCGCCGTCGTCATGCTCGTCGTCCTCGTCCTCGTCCTCGTCGACGGCCACGGACTCGATAATGTGCGGCGCGTGGCCGCCTCCGAAGGAGCGGACGTGGTCCTTGAGGGAGCGCTTGTGCTTAAAGTCGGAGCCACAGACGCAGAACCACAGCTTGCCGCAGTTCTTCTCGTGGGTGCGCCAGTCGCCGCGCACGGCGAACCGCTTGCCGCAGCGGCGGCACGCGTAGGGCCTCGCGCCGTGCTTGCGGCGGTAGTGCGTCTGCAGCGTGCGGAAGTCCTTGAGCGGCCGCGCCCGCGGGTGGTCGATGTTGTTCCGGCATCCCTCCGCGCAGCAGTAGCACGGCAACCGCATCAGCGACGGCGGCGGCGCTGCCGTGCCCACCGTCACCGCCCCCCGCAGCGACTCCGATCCCTTGCGGTACTGCGACCCGTGCCCCCACATATGCATCTGCGCAGGGAACAGCCAGAAGCTCAAGCTCAGCACATGTACTTTGAACACACACACGTTGATCTGCACCGCCAGTGCATTAAATGATGTACGTGCGACAAAGATCATCGTGTTACCTGCATGTTGTTGAAGCGGTTGAAGGTCTTGTTGCAGACTGCGCAGGAGAACTGGGTGGAGCCGACGAGGATCTCGGCGGCGGAGGGGATCCAGTACTGGCTGGGCACCTGGTTCCCGCCCGCCGTGGCGGCCGAGGGCGGCGCGACCGGCGCGGCGTAGGCGTAGCTCCCGCCGCAGGGAGCCAGATTGGCACCGCACGGAGACGGAGGGGCGATGGAGAGCGACACGCTCACGTTAGGGTCCTGCTCGTGGAACAAGAAGCTGCCGTTGCTGCCGCCGCCGCCTCCGACGCCACAGCCATGGTAGACATGACTTGGGTTGAACCAGGGCGAAGACGCGGTGGAGTGCGCGGCAGTGGCCACGGAGTGAGAGGAGCACGCCGAGGAGGAGGCCGCTGCGTCATGGTGGTGGCCGGGCGGCCAGAGGGAGAGGAGGAGCATGGACTGGTTGTCATCCTCAGTGCCGCCGCCATGGCCACCACTGCCCATCTTGGGCGGAGGGGCAGGGGCGGTGTGGTACGGGTGGGGGTGGGGGTGGGGGTGCATGGCTCTGTAGCTGTGCATGGCTCTCTTTCTCTCCCGGCGTGTGGAAGTTTGAGTTGAGTAGGCTGGATTGGAAGCGAGGGGAGCAACAAGCGTTGGAGAGGAAGAGAGGTGTGCTGCCTAGAAAGAAAGAAAGCTATGACTAGCTGCGCCTGAGGCTAGGTAGCTCGTCTGATTACTGGTCTGTGGGTGGGGGAGGAGGCGGCCGGGCGCTATATATAGCTGGAGAGAGACAGGGGGCTTGGCTAAGTATAGTGAATGATTGGTCGTAGCGACTAGTAGGGGGGTTATACACTTGCACGTGCAACATAGGTACCCTACGTATGTATATACTCCCTCCGTTTTTATTTACTCTGCATATTAGAGTTAACTAAAGTCAAACTTCGTAAAGTTTGACCAAATTTATAGAAAACAATATAGACATTTATCATAATAAATGTATACGATGTGAAAGTATATTCAATAATAAATCTAATGTTGTTGATTTGTTATTGTATATCTTAATATTTTTGCTTATAAACTTGGTCAAAATTTGTAAAGCTTGACTTTGACCAAAGCTAATATTCGAACTAAAAAAACAGAGGGAGTACCCTTAACACACATGCATGTCGCAGATTAAGAGACTTTTTTTGCATGGTAATACGTGTCTCATTTATATAAAATAAAGATCAAGTTATAAGGCACGTAAGCACCGACCATACAAGACTGAAAAGATAGGAAAATCCTATGCAAAATACCAACGTCCGTCCCTCTCCTTCGACACCACCGAAGCGGCCACCAAAGGGTAAAACGACAGATCACCTCATCACCCAAGCTCAACGCGGCTCCATCGCTGATCAGCAGCTTTGCGGACCTCCAAAGTAGTTTGCCAGAAGCAAAACCATAGTCGTTGAAAGAATCAGACCAGGGCAACATGTCCCCGGACACGCCATCGAACTTCAGAACTGACACCCCCGCATGACGACGACGTCGGAGGAGGAAATCAGAACTGTCAGCCTTCAACCACAGACCCAACACAAGATTCTCCATCTTCCAGCTGTCAATTGCGTAGACAACGGCCTGCGCGTACTCCTGAACGACAAAACCTCCCTGCTCCACCATGACGTCGGAGACAACGCCATAGCAACGGGGAGAGAGCAGAAGGAGAGACACACCTGATGGAGTCGTCGCCGCCGCCTCGCCAACACCATCCATGAACCCTAACGCTGTCGATCTGAAGGATCGGCAGAGACACGATGCCATCAACTCCGAGACGCCGCCGTGAAGGGCACCGCCGGTATGGGAGTGAAGCTGAGGCAGATTTATTCGTCTGTGCGTCGCTCCCACCACCCCAACGACGCACCACGACCTACAAATCCAAAACCTAACTACAGAGCGAAGGAACGGGGTCCCCCCTCCCTCCTGCCGCCGGAGCAGCTGCCGAAGGAAGAGGGGGCCAGCGCACCGGCCGGTGGAGATCGGTGGAAGGAGATCGCCTCCCTAGTCGCCTGGCTGTTGGCGGCGGCTAGGGTAGGGAAAGCGTAGCCCACCAATCTCACGTTTTCAGATTAAGAGACTTGAATGTTAGACTTTCTTGTGAATTTCGGACACATGTCATTAACCGGTACGGTATGTACATCGACAGTAACTTCGCGTGCTCGCAAAATGCGCCACTTCAAAACCCATAACTTGCTGAAAAATACCACTATATATTTATACAGAAAAAACTTATTTTGATGCTATGCCACTGACCCACTACCACAACTAGCATTTTAAGTATCCGAGTGTTCCTAGTTAGTGTATTTTTCTTTCCCGCCAAAACAAATACTCCATCTGATCTGAATTAATTGACGCTACTTTAATACAACTTTGTACTAGAATTGTATCTAAGGGAGTAGTTAGTTTATTATTTTGACTTTTTTTTTTGCAGTAGCATGTTTCAAATACACAAATTTGATAGTGGCATCAAAATTCCTTATAAAGTCTCTTTACATTGCCGGATTAGTATTTGACTTGTTAACTTGCCTATGAATGCATCTCCGTGGCCCAAATTTGATACAAATTTGGTTCTGATAATCTCCTTTTGTTTGATAACTCTCATGCATCCTCTCTTTGTCTATCACTCTATTTCTTCATGTCCTCAAAAGCAGTGCGTCCTGTTAAAAATAATGTGTTTTTTATCATGAACTATCAGAACACAGAACTTAAGAAATCCTCTATTTTGAGAACCTCTATGAATCCATACCGTGGCATCTTAATGTTCCCGTGCTTTCTTTTCGAGGAAGACACCAAGTTTCAATACAATGTTTTTTTTAGATTCTTTATTACAACATATTTGAGTTGTTTTGAGTACAAAAAGACCCAACATTATTGAACTTCTAAAATTCAGATACACACATTAAATTTGAAACTTAATGATTGTGACATTTTTTTGAAGAAATTTTGCCATGCTGTTACTTTAGCCGGAGAACTATTAAGATGTTTTACGATGCAAGGTGCTAAGAGTAGTGCTTAGTAAACTAAACCGAGTTTTTAAAGCACCAGCGCTTATCTCTACAGGACATGCTTAATTAAGCGTCTACCGTCTAGAAATAAGCACCTTGTTCATGCATTATTCAAGGCCTAAGAAGCACCGATGCTTAAGAAGGATAAGGATAAACCAGAAGCTAGGGGTAAGGAAGAAGAAATGCAGAGAATGATTTTTGTTCAAGCCCAAAGAATCTCTATCTAGCTTGCTTTTTGTAGCGAGTAGGCTGGACAACCAGCAAGGCATGCATGTGCATATATGTATGTACATGATCAGGATGTGGACGTATCCGGTCGTGTATACATGTCTCCTACTACTCATAGGGAGGGAGGGGAGTGGTACGGTGCTGTTGCTACGGTTTTTGCAGGGGGCAGAGCGTTGGAGGTATTAGGGCAGGGAGGGGACAAGGGACCGGCATAGGCACTAGGCGACCTCCCTCCCTCCCTCCATGGAGCGGGATTGGGACCATGCATGCATGTACTCCTAGCTAGCTGCTGCGTCGCCCAGGGCCTAGCCTGCGTACGCATGCATAGGGTGGCGCGACTGTCGAGGACGTACACCCCGGCCGCAGACCACGGTCACGCATGACACACACATAACACAGCGCCTCCCTATCTCTCACTCTCTGTGTCCACAAGATGCCTTTTCTTTTTCCATGTTTCATCTCCTCCTTTTCTGGGCGCAATCCCCTCCAAGGCTCCATTGCTACTGTTTGCTCTCTCTCCCCCTCCCTCTCTCTCTCTCGCTTGCTCGGCGCTCTCTCTCTCTCTCCCGTGCATATGTGGACGGGCACGCCGGGGTGAATTGGTAGCCCATGCATAGTTACAAGTACAGTGTAATAGTATGTACCATTCTACAAAACTTTGGGGGTTATAAGTATATTATAATAAGTATGTAACATTCTACCAAATTTTGGGATGACTTTGGGATGCAGCAAGTTTACTCATGGACTCTAGCTAGGTACGTAGTATTCCCTCCATTTCTAAAGATAAGATGTTTTGGCAGTTCAATTTAAACCGTCAAAACGTCTCACATTTAGAAACAAAGATAGTAATATATATACTAGTATAGTTTTGTTATTGTGCATGTATTATTATTATTTTTGCAAAAAAGCATCTAATTGATGAGATTTATAGAGTATTTAACTTCTTACATATGACTAATCAAAGATGGTGTGACCAACATTTCAAGTTATAAATGGCAGTAGAAATTAACACACTAGCAATTGAGTAGATTTAACATATTTTTGCTTTGTTACGGATTAAAACTCATATTTGTGTTCTTGAGTCTATGTATAGCACTTGTCCAAGAAAAGGAAAAGAATTCCAAAAAAATTAAGCAAACTCCGAAAAACATGAAACCTGACATGGTGTCATTATATAATCCCTAGAATGTGTGGTAAAAATTTGAGAAGATTTTGCAAAAGTCGAACAATTTCCTTAGAAGAATCGTGGTTTCGAGAGGTAACGGGTCAGGTTGGAAGTCGAAGTGGCAGTTGCTTCATCGTTTCACGTTGAAATATTTTATACACTCAACATAGACCACTACATGTTACATGACAAAATTTTGCATTTTTGGGGGATACCTTTGTTAAGTCGAACATTTAAATTCAGATCAAATTTATAGAAAAATATTACCAAAGTGTGATATCAAATCTATACGATTAGATCCATCGTAAATATGTTTTCACAGCATATTTATTTGGTACTATGGATGTAGACATTTTTTGGCAGATTTTTGCGATTGTAAAACATCTTGAATTTCTCCATTCACTATTATAAGATGTTCTGGCTTTTTTCTAGATTGGATGTATTTAAGCCTACTTTAGTGTGTTTGTTCATTCATTTCAGTCTATTTGTAGTCAACGTTGAAATATTCAATACATGTTATAATAGCGAACGCAATGGGGTACTAGTTTACATTTTGTAGTCCTTATATGGATTTTATTTATTACAATGCTATTATCTGAATTTGTTGGGGGCACCAAATCTTGCCTTCTCCATACTTGGGGGCACCAACCAGGAGGTGGATGGCTGGTAGTATAGCGCTCCAGGCCAATAAATTCTCAAGCAACACGCATTGATATGCTGCTACAGTAGCCAAGTTAGCAGCGCTTGTCGCCTTTCTCCTGTTCTTCTCCTTCCTTTGAGATCTCTGGCACACATCCATCGGCTGGCTAGCGCTTGTCTCTTTGCAACCGAGTTTCTTCGCTCTGAACCAGAAACCAGACAAACTACAGTTATGCATGCAGCAGTTGGACAAAGCGCTAGAGAACAGGTGCGCATATGCATGTTTGAGAGAGATAAGCCCTACATATATGCAAGCTCTTAGGAGACCAGCTGACACGGCAGAACTGGTCTTAACATGCGATAACTCTTGCGTCCAAAAGGCGGTATTACGTATGTTCTTCGGCTCATGTATATTGGTCGATGTATATTTGGGCCAGAGAGGTACGGCAGTGTGGGCCAGTTTGTTTCAAATACCAGTACAAGCCTATGTGAACCGCTTGGCATGC